CTCTCAGGCTTTCACAGAGAGCACGTTGCCCAGCAATGGCCGTGACTCATCCACATGGCTGACACTGACAAAGGTTCTACAATCTGAGGTAAAGGATCTCAGGATAAATCCTGAGGGGATTTCACTGACCTTATCAGACCCAAAAGCTGCAATTCTTGTTGCATAGGTCCTGCTTTACCTTGGTCTTAACCATCCAGCAGAAAAGTATAAAAATGAAGTAGAAGAAGTAAAGCTATGCTGTTATGTTGAGCTGTAGGAGACTCAGATCAGCAATTTCTGACACTGCCAGTCAAGTGGAAGACCCAATACTATTATGGACTGTCCCGACCCATGGGTTAGTCAATGAGGACCCTAGAGAGGGAATGGGGATGAGAAGGGACAGGAGACACAAGAAATGGAGACAAGACAAGTTCTGATCAAGTCTTGTTTATTCTGAGGAAGTGCTGGGTATATATAGGGAGTGTAGGAATGAGGAAGTCTTGACTCTTGATGTTAGCAGGTATCTAGGCAATGGGAGAAGGTCCCCAGGGGTGGCGTAGCACGTGATTCACAGGGAATGGGCAAGGCAGGAAGGAGCAGAAACTTAACTCATCAGGGGAATAGAAACTTAAGAAAATGGCTGACACTATTATAAAATGGATACCAGTTAACGGCTTCCCACAATGGACTACTGGATTCTTTTAAAATATTTTGCTGAGTTAACACATCTATAATATTCAAATGACAGAACTAAACAAAAAGGGTATACAGATGAATGTCCATTTTGTATCTGTGTATTCAAAATGATTAGGATAGGTATATAGTTACATTCTCTTCATGAATAGAGGGATTTGTTCTAGTAGTGTTTGTAAATAGGATATCATGTCTGCATCTTGTACAGCAAATAACCAGTAGGAGGAGAGTATGCAATGTGCTAATTATTGGAACTGTCCTACCAATTTGATTTGAAACTGTCTCATTGCTATTTGTCTCTCAATAAAATTATGGAAAAAAAAAAAGAAAAAAGGATATCAAGGAGGACTTAGGAAAATGGAAAGCCATCCCCTGTTCTTTGGTAGGCAGAATCACTCTACTGAAAATGACCATACTTTCAAAACTGTTACACAATAGTGGTTTTTTTTTTAAATTTAATTTTATTTATTTATGTGTGTGTGTGTGTGTGTGGCCAGCTCAGCCCACCAGGGGGCGGAGTTGGCTGGCATGTGGTGCTGGGGGATTGAACCGTGGTCTCTGGGTTTTGCTAAGCTTGTTCTAAGTAGGTGCTTTAGACCACTGAGCCATCTCACCAGCCCCACAATAGTGTTTAGACAAGATATCATGTCTACATCTTGTCCTCTGAATAACTACTATGAAGACAACAATATGCGATGTATTAATTATTGTAACTGTCCTACTAACCTGTTTGAAACTGTTTCATTGCTATTTTATCTTCTTTCTCAAAATGAATAAAAAATTTAAAGAAAAAAAAACCTATTATATGTTTTATGTACAATCTAAGACAATTCCTCTTAGCTCAGTGCAACCCAGGTAAGCCAGAAGGTTGGATATGTTTGCTTGAGTCTCTGAGTTAGACTCCCAATATCACCAAAACAAGGAAAAGAAAAAAGTCAATACATCCCACTGTTAAATTGATAAATCTAAAGTGGTTTGTAACAGTAAATGTGGCATATGAGCAGTAGAATAATACTAGCAAAAAAAGGTAAAAATTAATGCCCATAGAAACATGATGGATCTCAAAAACTTCGTGTTAGATGAAAGAAGCCCAGTGTAAAAGACTATGTACTGTGTGTTTTCTTTATATGAAATCCTAGAAGAGGAACAGCAATTGTGGTTACTTAGTGTGATAAGGATCTATTGAAAGATGGTACAGGATAACATTTTGGAGTGTTGGGATGTTCTGTAAGTTAATTATGGACGTCTTCTCACCTGCTATATATTTTGCCAAAACTTGGAAATATGTATTTAATTTGGACAAATTTGTTTTATGGAGATAATGCAAGTTTTTTTTTTAATTATTATGGTAAAAGATACGTTACCATTAATCATCCTCACATTCCCCTTCACTTTTTAAAAAACAAAAATAAAATTACCCAAGTTTTATTAAAGGTAAAAAAAATAGACTCTCTAGAGTGAGTTTGGGCCAAGTATAAAAGGAGGAAAGGGACACCGCAGTGTCAAGATGGGCCGCCATGCAAGAGAGAACACAGCGGCCTGCTCCTCCCCTTGGCTGCACTTATCCATCATTGTTGCCACGTTCTGAAGCAATTCTGGAAGTCCTTTTGCTTTAAGTATCTTTAATTGCTCTGTTGTGGCTGCCTTGGTGCCCTGAATAATTTCAAAATGTTTACTCTTCACTTTCATTGTGGAGAAGAGCCAGAAGTCACATAGGGCCAAAATGGTCCCAGATTCGGTGAATAAGGTAGATATGAACAGCTGCGCCAAGCTTTTTATGAGTCTACCTTTTCCCTGAACAGCATCCACCATACTTTGGATCACATCTCATAAAACACAAGAGAACTTCCAGAGCAGCAAGATGGATAAGTGTGTTCAAAGCAGCGGGGGTGGGAGGGTGGGGGAGTGGGGGGGTGTTAATGGCAATGTATTTTTACTATAATAAATTGTTTTAAAAAAACTTAACCATTTACTGTATATTTTGATCACACTTATACTTCTTTAAGGTTGTAAAAAAAAAAAGCAACCATATTTTGGCAAGAGACAGACTAATATAAGAAAGAGATATTGGCTTTAATGTGTGTTGTAAAGATTTTACCCAGAGGCTTAGGTTTGATCTTGCCAGCCCTTCCCCCAGGGCGGGCAGAGCTGGCCATGAATGAACGTGAATGAATGAACGAACGAACGAACGAATGAATGAATGAATGAATGAATATGTTTTAACTTTTAAATTGCAGTAGGTATGTAAACAAAGAAAGAAACAGGTTCTTAGATGAAATACAAATAGCTGAATATAGTTGTGCCAATAAATACAAATTAAAACAAAAATATACTACTGTTCTGATTGATAAAATTAGAAAAAAAAACTGTACTGTACAGGGCTGGGGGGATAGGTTGGTGGTCTAAGCACCTGCCTGGCAAGCACAAGATCCTGAGTTCGATCCCTGGGACTATGCCCACCCCAGAACAGGGCGTGGTGGTGCATGTCTGTAATCCTAGCACTGGGGAGGCTGAGACAGTAGGGTCACTAGGAGTCTGAGCTGCATAGCAAGACCCTATACCAAATAAATAAATCTTTAAACTTTTCAGGAGACTTGTTTTTGTATTTCATTTGCCACTACTATCTGCTCTCTAGATGTTGTATCCTTTTTTTAGACTCGAACATGCTTAGAAGAGTTAAAGCTGGAAGACCGGGTTCTGTGCCTCCACAGTCGATGGCGAATTCTGTATGTAGGACTAGCAAATGGCACTGTGGTCACCTTCAACACAAAGGTCAGTGGTAGGTGGGGAGAAGGGTGAATTCCCTTGTTGTTTGGAAGTGAAAAGGGGTAAGGGCAGTCGGGCATGTGTATATATATCTGTTTGTATTTTAGAAAAAGTTGCTATGGAGTTGAAAGTTGGGAAAGATTTGCGTTAGTGGAAGCTGGGAGATTATTCAAGAACCTTTGTAATGGAAGCTGACATCAAAGGTTACACTAAGGATAAAGGGAAGGAAGTAGATGAAAGATGTAATCTAAGAGGTAGAATTGATCCTAGCCAACATAAGGCCTGGGATAGAGCTCTGCTGCACAGAGCCTACCTGGGAAGCACGAGGTCATGAGTTTGATTCCTGATACAAAAAGAAATAAAGAAATAGTAATTAACATTGGGCTGGGACCATAACCCAGGCCACGAGCACCTGCCTTGGCAAGTGCAAGGTCCTCAGTTTGGTTCCCAGTACAAAAAAAAAAAAAAAAAAGCCAGCTGTCCTCTGGTCATATTTTAATAGTCTGTTAGAATATTTTCTGTTACAGTGTCATTAATATTCTTGCTAGAAGTACTGTAAGAGATGCAATAAAATATATCTGCTTTTCCATATTTCTGCTTTTATGAAAAAGTGAAGTTTGAAAACTGCCACAGCTAGGTGTAATGGTGCATGCCTGTAATCTCAGTACTTGGGAGGGAGAGGCAGGAGAATTGCCATGAGTTGGAGGCCAGCCTGGACTATGTAGCAAGACCCTGTCTCAAAAAAAAAAAAAAGAAAGACAGACAACACTATAAAGGATTAAAAATTTGATAATTACTCTTTTATAAGATTAATTATTGTCATCAAAAGTTAAAAGCGAGATATTTGAGGCAAGATAATCACAATATTTTAATTATTTTGTTTAGACAGGGTCTCACTAATTAATTGAGACCGGCCTTGAACTTACTGTGCAGCCTACACTGACCTCAAACTCAGTGATCCTACTGCCTTGGCCTGAGTGCTGAGATTATAGGCATATGCCACTACACCTGGCCTAAATATTTTAAATGGAAGAGTTCTGGTTGAAAAACTGGAAAAGATGACTATTTTTAAAAATAACACTTCATTATGTAGTTCAGGCTGGCCTTGAACTCACCACAAAGCCCAGGCTGGTCTCAAACTTGGAGTTGTCCTTCTGCCTCAGCCTCTTGAGTACTGGAATTGCAGCTTTATTATTGTAAAGGGAAGGGGAAAAGGGCATAAAAAGAAAATAATTTTTTTGGTTGGCAGGAAGGGGCTGGCTCAGGATGCCTTCAGGGCAGGTCTGGCAAGGCTTGAGGATCTGGGGATGGAACCACAGCATCCTGTGCCTGACTGCTTTGTTTAAGCAATCACTTAAGCAGATGAGCTAATAGGCAGGCCACCAAGAAAATAAATTTTTATTATGTTCAGAATAGTATGTAAGTTGAAGTATAAAATAGTTTATTACAAACCAGGGTTGGTGGCACATGCCTGTAATCCCTATTCTGGAAGCTGGGTCAAGAGGATTATAAATTTGAAACCCACCTGGGGAAATTAAATGAGACCCTGTCTCAGAATACAAAAATAAAAGGACTGGTGATGTTGTTTAGTACTCCCTGGGGTCAGTCCCTCTCAACAAAAAAATTTATTATTTAAAAATTTGCCCTTTTTACCCTGGGGAGAAAGGATGTCATGATCACAGCAGGAGCATTGGAGTGGAAGCAGCATGGGTTGACAGGTTAAGAATTTGGCTTGGGTGTGAGAAAATTTCAATCTCATCCCCCTAAAAAAATTTTTTCCTGAAACTTCCTTGAAGAATTTAATGTAGCCAGGCATGATGGTGTACTTCTGTAATCCTAGCAGTCAGGAGGTTGAGGCAGAAGGATTGTTACAATTTCAAGGCCAGCATGGGCTAAACAGTTCAAACTAACCCTGACATAGTGAGTGTGCAGTGATTGAACTAAGAGTTTGTAGTAATTTTGGTTTTGAGCTTTTCTAGCTCTGTTGCTTTTGCTTCATATAATGATGGTTTATTTTTCAGAACAACAAACAACTTGAAGTCTTTGAATGCCATGGGCCAAGGGCTGTCAGCTGTCTTGCCACAGCTCAAGAAGGTTCCCGAAAGCTGCTGGTTGTGGGATCTTATGACTGTACTATTAGTGTGCGGGATGCCCGGAATGGACTGCTCCTCAGAACTCTGGAGAGCCATACCAAGACAATTCTGTGCATGAAGGCAAGTGTAGTGTAGGGGCAAGAGGGGTATGGGGGGAGTGGAAGGATATTGAGTGGTATTTTCCATTACTCAGATCACAGCCATCTTGAAAAAATTATTAGTGCCTATGTCACCATGTAACATGCTGTTCTTTAGTATATTAACCAATAAACAGTTGCAGGTTTGTTTTATTGTAAAATGTGGGTACAACTCTGATGCCTATCATGAATGTATCAACACGCCTAGTGCTAGGGCATAAGTATCAGTAGAGAAAACTGGTCTTGGAAACATTTTATACCCAGTTCATGCTCATCTTTTTTTTTTCATGCTCATCTTGAAATAGTATGAAAGTTAGAATCTGTTGGGTTATATTACAAGTTATAGCAAACTGAGACTTTGTGTAGAACCTAATGAACTCAATTGTTTCATTGAAGGTGGTGAATGACCTTGTGTTCAGTGGCTCCAGTGATCAGTCCGTCCATGCTCACAACATTCACGTAAGCCGTGTCGCTGTAGTGCAAGATCTCTTATACTGCCTCTTGGGAGGAGGGGGGAGATAATGGTTCACACTGAAAAGCTTTCTCTTTTAATTAATTAAATTAATTTTTCCTCTTTTAATTTAAATTAAGCCTTTTATCCAGGGAAAGGATTAATATGCACAGGTTGGATTGAACAACCTGAAAATTTTAACCTCATCAAAAAAATTTTTTTTTCCTGAAACCTCATCAAAAATTTTAATGGGGCTGAGCATGGTGGCACATGTCTGATCCTAGCACTTGGGAGGCTGAGGTAGGAAGATCATTGTGAGTTCAAGTCTCCCTTGGGCTACATAGTGAGTTCAAAGCCAGCCTGAACAACAGAGACCCAGTCTCTGTCTCAAACCACCTTCACCAAAAAAAAAAAAAAAAAAAGGGTGGGGGGACAGATTCAAAGCTTCTACAAGGTTTCATTTAAATGCCTCATTTAAATTGAGATGAGTTGAGTAGCTGAGGCTCTCAGAAAGTGGGCATGATATGGAGTTTTAAATAGCACAAATAAAAACAGCTGAGATTCTATACTTAGATCATAAAGGCAGCTCTCTGAAACTCAGTTCCTTGTCTGTAATCCGGGGCATAATCCCACCTAATGAACTTGTCCCGGTCAGGGCCTATAAGATAATAAGAGCAAAATGGGTTGTCTGTCTCTCATCTGAATTACTGGGAACCAAAAGTATTTTCAGATTTTAAATTTTTATAGATGTTGGGATATTTGCTTATACAGGATAACTTGGGGGTAGGATCTTACTCTAAACACAAAATTTATTTGCGCTTCATATATACATAGCCCCAAAATAATTTTATGTCTTTAGTTAGCCTGTGTTTTTACTGGCTTGTCACGTAAAGTCAAGTGTGGAATTTTCCATTTGTAATACAGGGACCAGGGAGATGGCTCAGTAGAATAAGTGCTTCCCTGGCAAGCGCAAGGGCCTGAGTTCAATCCCTGGTTCCACCAAAATAGAAAAAAGAAAATGTTTTGGATTTTAGAGCATTACAAGTCTCATATTTTTGAATTAGGGTTGCTCAGCCTATACATGGGGAGCTATAAAATACATATAGAGTTGTGGCCTTTCCTTTTTGGTAACATTAGCCTCATCCAGTCTTCCAGTGAAGGTGCATTTCTTGTACATTCTATAGATAAGAGGTACTTGTGGGAGCACTTTAACTATTTTTACAGGTAGCCCTAGAATTATACTTCTTAGAATTATAGAAATCTCAGAAGTAGAAAGAAAAACAGAAAGGAATCTCATGTACAATCTGATGATTCTTAACCTCTTTTCTGATGTAGACTGGCGAACTTGTGCGGATCTATAAAGGTCACAATCATGCAGTGACCGTGGTGAATATCCTAGGAAAAGTGATGGTGACTGCTTGTCTGGATAAATTTGTTCGTGTCTATGAATTACAGGTAGAATTTAGAGCCAATGTTTTTTCTGAATGATTTGGGGAAAATGTCTGGGCTTGGTGTTACGTTTTGGTATGGCAAAGCTGGGTTGGAGCATGAGAATACATTTTCACAAGCACACTGGATAATTACAGAATGGCTGTCCTTCAGGCCACCCTTTAGAGATACTGTGCTCAAGTGCATGGTGTCAAACTCATGTACGTCAGATTCCTCTAAATGGTTTCTGGAGAGCAATCTGGCCTCTTAAAACTGTCCAGCTCGCCTTTTGGCTCTCTGAGCAGCACCATGGCGGTAGGCAAGAACAAGCGCCTTACAAAAGGCGGCAAAAAAGGAGCCAAGAAGAAAGTGGTTGATCCATTTTCTAAAAAAGACTGGTATGATGTGAAGGCTCCGGCTATGTTCAACATAAGAAATACTGGAAAACACTCGTCACCAG